AGTGTTCATTTTGGAGGAAATAATCCTGGATTTGTTTCAAAAGAATATTGACAGAGTTAATTATAAGATGAAAAAAAATTTTTTCTTCCAAATTACATAATTGATACAACATTTACCATTTATGTTTAACATTTTGAAATGGGAGTTTTCCTTCACTCCTAAATAAGCATTTGTGTCTGAAGAGATGTGTATGATCCAATTATTGGAACTTCTGGTTCCCTTCCTCAAGGATCCTGGATTCTGATCCCTTGAGTGCTACTGACTCACTTTTCAACCTCTGGCAAGACCTTCTTGCACCTCAATAATCCCAGCTGGAAAACTAGGTGAAATAAAAACATGACCTCATTAAGAAACAGATGCTCCATCCCAGCCGTGCTTTCTTAAGTAAACACATTACAGGGCTACTTGTAACATTTTTTTAGGATGTGGTGTTATGTCCCCTTGTCCATTGGTCAGTTTGGGGTCAGAAGATGAGAGCTTGAAATTCTGTTTAATTTGCAGACCAAAGTTTAGAAAAAGAACCAAATTTCCTTCCTGAAGTTAATGTTAAAAGTCAGCCCTAGTCATACAGTAATTAATACCTGAATTAAATAAGAAGCTGAACCAATGTTTTCCTTTGAAGTTCAGATGTACAACATCTCACATGTTCTAACACCAGATTCATTTGTGAGTTTAAGGAGGCCAGGTGCTTTTTAAATCTATATTGTGATTATCAAAGCTGAGATTTATTTAATAAGATATAGTTATGCATTTAAAAAGACACCAACTTAAAAAGACAATTATCATACTAGAACAGTTGTTAGGGGATTCATTGTTTGATATTTCTGAGTTAACAGTATAATTCAGACTCTTACCCTATAGGTTTTGCATTGACATAATTTACCATGAAAGTAATTTCCTTAGTGTAATTCAAATAAACTCCTTCCTAAGGTTATTTTGCGTGGTGGGAACTCATTATCAGGACTGTTGTATTTATGACATGGCTTAATATCTATTAAGAATAGATCAGTATTTTCTACAAAAGCCCTTCAATTTATACCTTGATTTTTAATAATGATTTCAAAAAGCAAGATGCAGTTCTGAGGACTTGGGAAAATACTAAATTAGACAACCACATTATTTTCTAAATTTCATTCTGTTATCTATGATATCTTTTTTTTTCTATTTTAGTGTATAATTACAAATGCCATTAACAAGTGCACTCACGAAACAAGTGTGTTTCAGCCTTAATTGCATCTGGATTTTAGGTGAGAGATTTCCAATCTTATCAATCAAGAATTAAGGATTCACCAAGAGAGTACTGGAAACAAGATTGCTTACCTTAGTGAAAGCAAACACACTGCTTTTCAGTCTTTTCCATGTCTACTGATCATAAATGGTTCCAAATACAAATACTAATGCTTCCTTAGAGCCAGACTTTGGGACCTCTACTTTAAACCCTGACTGTGAATTGTGCCCCTAAATCCATGCCTGCCTTGTCTCTGCCAGTTTCACTGAGGGAGTTTGGTCCAGCTTCTGCAAATCTCCTCTTTTACAGGTAAATCTTTCAAAATTGTTTTGAATCCTCTTCACCCTTCTTTCCCTGTACTTTGACTTGGGAAAGAAATATCTCTCTGTCTTTTTGATTATAAGAATTGCCTTTCTCACTGGGTTTCTTGATTCCATCACCCTGCCTCCTCCAAAACCTCACCTCTCACACTAACTCTCCTCTGTATTGCTTTAAAAACTCACCATAAGCAACACTGATGAAAATGACAACACCTTACTTTAGGAGTTGTAAACATCTTCTCTGGTACTTCTTTATGTTCTTCATCCACTCTCTCACTCTCTGGGGGCACATACATGTAAATCTCATGGGAGGATTAACATAATTATTTCCTTAGTATAATTAAATGTTGGAGAATGGCTTCATCTCCAATTCACACCTGAGATTTTAGATTATCTCTGTGGAAGATTTATGAACAAACTTTCACAGTAAAAGCTGGATGTCCTAGATGATCAGGGACATCATGATAAATTTTGATTCCCCTTTATAACATCTATTTGACATCTACTGTTGTCAGCTACAACATTATATCTTAAATTTCCTAGACTCTGGATTTTTCTCTGTTAATAAGTTTTTAGTATCATAGCATGTTGGTCTAATGTGAGTGTGCCTTTAAAATAGCTTATGCTTTTCTATGGGTGCTGCCATTGCAGTGCTCAAAAGATATCGGCAAATTTCAGACTGACATTAGAGTAAGTTAGCATAATGATTCGGGGATCACATTTGAAAGTATCACCTCTTTTTCTACTCACAGCCTTTAGTATGTCTGTCACGTCTTTCCTGAAGAGCATCCAAACATCCCTCACATTGATCTTCCATTTCAATTCCTGTCCAGCTCCTGAAGGGAAGTCACATGGGTCTCTCTCTCACTGTAGAACTGGCTGACTGTTTCTTTGGGCACTTAAATGTTCTTCACATTGCCCATGACTCTCATTACTTCTCACTGACTCTGGGAGATCTTCCAAAATTCGCATCTCCTTGTAGCTCTTGCTGAAGTGGAACTAAGATTTGTTCATGCTCAAATGGCATTCTTTTTTGAGAATTTCTTCTAAGTATCTTCAGCAGCAATTAAGTTACACTGACAAATTAATTCCTTTAGGGAGCATAAGATTCACAGTATTATGCCACAAAGCATGCCAAAAGATTCACAAAAATACCCCCAAAATACTTTTAAATAAACTACTTTGCTTACCTAATTCCTATTTTAAACTATATGCCTCACCATTCCGTATGAAAGAAAATATTGAGGTACTCTCCCAGGCCCCTCAAAGTGAATTTGGTGTTTGTCACATGGCCTGTATCTTAAATCAAAAATCTAAAATTCACCCTCCAACTCAAGGGAAAATACCTTGATATAATAGTAAAAATTCATATGGAAAGTACATTTACATTATTTAGATAGATTTTGAGGAAAAGCTATTACTCCATTAAATAAATAGGAATATCTTATGTAATATAATGCAAAAAATCACATTTTTACATATAAAACTTGGATTTCAATACACATCATTTTGCAGGGGTCACCTCAGGCCACTTTACCTCTCTCTCTTCTCTGCCAGGGGGAAAAACTCAAGTGTGGAATTTTCATGCAAATCCCATGGTGCTAGCTGAAGAACAGTGCACATTACCTAAGTGCAAGAAGCAGAGTTCCTTCTCAGCAAGTGCTTGGTGTACTAGGAAACTTTAGGCAGTATTGAGTAAGACATGAATCAAAGGTTCTGCGAGTTCTTGAAAAACTCAAGATTATCACCCCAAAATTGGACAAGCCCCTGCCAGTCTTCTTTTGCATGTTACTTGGGACATGCTTTACAGACTGTGATGCACATTCATGCTATTGACCAATATAAAATGTGAGTGGGGACATGGGGGTTTCCCTCAGAAAACTTGCTAGCCTAGAAAGCGCTATTGAAGCAAATAACTGCATAAATATCATAAAATATGAAGCCTCAGAGGGTCACCCAGCACCAGCCACTTAATTTCAGCCGCAACAGCAGCCAGCTGCTCAGTGGACAGTTCAGTTATGAGGTGTTGGTGATTTAACAAGTTGGCCCAAAGTCATTGGAATGTGGCATGCAAGATTTCATCTCTGTTGGGTTTTACTGTTGCACCCCAGACTTTTTTTGGAAGAAGGGCCAAAGTTTCTGCCTTTGGCATTCAGAAACCAAGAGAGAATGCAGTAATCACTTTACTACAGTGTTTGCCATGTATGCTCTTTTTTAGAGTGTGGTGTATGACTCTATAAAGCTTTGCAAAAAACACTACTAGGATAGCTTGTGTGCTTTTTAGAGTCTCTACCAACCACCATCCTGAATGTATCTTTTTAAATCTTTTATTAAGGTATTAATATACACTCTTATGAAGTTTTCACATGAAAAGCAATGTGGTTACTACACTTACCTGTATTAGCAAGTTCCAACCCATATCCCATTGCAGTCACTGTGCATCACTGTAGTATACTTTTTAACAGTATTTTAGATTTATTGGAGAATGTTGTTTCCTCTTTAGACTATGTGAAAATGAGCCTTATGAAATAGAAAAACAATTCAGGCAGATTATAACAATTATATACTCTGTGAAATGATACCTTGGTAGAATGGAAATGACCCTGGGGTTTAAAGAACGGATTTGGTAGGCTTACACACAAACACCACCTAGCTGAGGCCAGTCACTTACATTCCCAGTGTTTGTTTTCTCTCAAACTCTTAACACTCCTTGATGGGCATCTTGGTATTTTAGACATTTCTTAGATGTAAACTAGTACATTTTCAAAATATGCCATTTATTTGTAGGACTAGTAAGTGTGCACAACTCACAAGATAACTAAAAGAAATGAAGGGGTGAGACAAGCTTACATTTGCATGGAACTGGGAAGTTACTAATGTTAATTCTCTTTCTTTTTCTCTCCTAGTCATCTCTTACATAGCTACCTATTTACTTGGCCAAGGAAATAGAAGTCACTGACATTCAAAAGCCATCTATTAAGTATCTGCAACTTGCAGAACATTGAGTTAAATACAGAGGTTTCAACAGTGGACGGGGGAGATGGTCTCAGATCTCACGGGGTCTATGGTTGATCAGAGAAGAAAATTAGACAAGTAATCAAAATAATATGTAGTGAGGGCTATGACATAATCCCACAGTTGCCTTTTAAATTCTAGATTCTAAATCAGGCCTGTTTCTACAAATCATTGAGCATGTGTGATCCAGATGATTATAGGAATGTCTACTCCTCAGTATAATTTTTCTGTTTTCATCTAAATGTTCACCAAAAGTGACTGCTCTAGCTGCATGCAGCTTAAATTTCCCTGGGGGTCCAGTCACTGCATGAGAAAGCTGTTAAAATGAACTCATGTACAATTGGGAGGGAAAAAAATCACATGCTAGTATAATTGTCACGTAAGAGTAGAAATGCAAAATCACTCATCAGTCGTACTGTCTGTATTCTCTCCCCTAGGGCATCTACTTGGCCTCTCCCATGATGACTCCAAATTCTGTGAAGAGAACTTTGGGGCCACTGAAGATAAGCGCTTAATGTCTTCCATCCTAACTAGCATTGATTCGTCCAAGCCCTGGTCCAAATGCACCTCAGCCACCATCACAGAATTCCTGGATGATGGCCACGGTATGTATCGCTCAGGACAACATAAGCTTAGAAACAAAACTTGGGATAATTTATAAGTTTTCCTTCACTGTATCTTCATGGTGTTCATCATGCCCCTAAGAGAATGGTGGTTTAGTTAGTGTCAGGAAAGGGAGCGAGGGGACTGTCTGTTGGTGGGTAATGCCAACGACCTTGGTGGCATTATAGCTATGGTATTTTTGCTTTTGAATTGAAAAGTTCAAAAGAGAAGCAGTGTGGGAGACCACACAGAATGCCTAGCCAGTGCTCTGAAAGCCTGGCTCTTATTCCCTCTTTCACCACTAGCTTCCTGTGGGAATGCTGGCAGACATCTTGTTTCCCTGCTATTAATATGACTCTCAGGATTATTTGTTACATGCCTATTATAGGAGTGTGGAGAAAATGTAGGTGACAATTCTGTCAGATTCTCTTACGGCAGCATAAAGCCAGGAAAGGAAGCTCTTTAGATTTGCATTCACTGGAAGAATCTGGTTTCACTCTGACAGCAGATTCTCCTAAAAGTAGAGTAAAAACTGCACAACAGAAAGAGAAAATAAGAATGAATGGTGAGAAAACACTTTAAGAACTTCAAAAGAAAATCTTTGGCTTTGTCCATTGGATACAGTTCAAGAGCATAGCATTCTTTGTTAAATTCTGTAAATCCGGATTAGTGCTATAAAGTACATAAAAATACTAAAGAAGTCACAGTTTTTAGAAATAAATTCTGGCCACTTAAATAATCTTTGAAACAGCTTTTGTTGATTTTTCTGGCATTCCTTATTACTTCAAGAAACTAGAAACACAAAAGGTTAGAGTTGGGAGAGATCTTCAGTGGATTAGTGCTATAAAGTACATAAAAATACTAAAGAAGTCACAGTTTTTAGAAATAAATTCTGGCCACTTAAATAATCTTTGAAACAGCTTTTGTTGATTTTTCTGGCATTCCTTATTACTTCAAGAAACTAGAAACACAAAAGGTTAGAGTTGGGAGAGATCTTCAGAGACCACGCAGCTCAAGTTTCTCATATCACAGAAATCAGCATATTCTCATCCTGTTGTTTTCTCTTAAAATGTGTCTCTTTCTAAAACTGGTGGGTGAATTGAATGTGACAAAATTCTTGATCATAATAAGTGTCCATAAAGCTATCTCATGATGTATGGTTCAAAGTTAGATTAAGAGAATTTGTGATAACTCTTTTCCTAGATCCACAAAATTTATGGCTTAATATTTTCATAATATCTTCATGAGCTGGCCATCTTGAACTTTGGCTACATATGTCAAAACAATTGATGAATTGAATTCTTTTCAGACTAAAAGAAATTCACAACACAGTTCTTTGGTATCTCATAGGCAAAGTCTGTTCTTGAACTCATTTTTGCTATGTTAGTGGTGAACCAGTAATGGTTGCAGCTTTTTAAATTTCCTTTTCCTGAAAACAGTCTATGCCCAGCTTGGTTTAAAATTTCCATCAATACAAAAGAAATGTCCTTTGCTAGTTGAAAGGACATCCCAATGTATCAAAGATTTACAAACAATACTAAAAATCAATGTATTACACTTTTCTTTTAGGCTAATGATAAAGTGGAAACTTTCTGTGTAGCTCACTTTACAATGCTGATTAAATGGTGATAAAGTCCTGAAATGAATATTTGCCAAATTATCTGCCTGTCTACACTAATCAAATCAATATCTAATGAAGTCCTTCTTGAGTGGAATCTTAGTCTCCACTCTTAATACTGCTTTTGCTCTTTTTCTTTCAGGTTTTCTGAAAATGAAGTAACATTAATATTTTATTTCAAAATCACACATTACACATGCCAAAAGGTTGAGCTAAACTTTGAATCACTAAATGAATGGACTTAGTTGCTAAGGCAAGCAAATACTTATGGCTAAACGGGAACACATTTTTTTTCCTGTGCAAGTATTAGGTCAGCTAATTACAATGCTGTGCAGAATTTTGTTCTTTTTTGCCATAATTTTGGAGTGACTCATTGATTTCGTGTTTATGGAATGGCTTTCTGTGCAGTAAGTATGCTTTCAGTACTGTCTTCATTTTTAAATATTATCTCTGTGTTTAAAAGAGTCCACATTCAGACTTGAAAGTTTTGCAACAAATTTCATATTTTATGCATCTCTCTGTCTATTCCAAAATCCCCCATGGTAGATAACAAGCAAGAACATACCTTTAGTTGAAAGTCATATTCACTTGTACTAATAAAATCTTATCTGAGTTTCCCATATATCTGTAAATAAATTAAATTACCAAAATTCTTTGGACAGCAAATACCTTATTTATCAACTTATTTCACCAAACCTAGACTCTCTTACTTTTGAATATGTTGGTTAGGCAGACTTGTATTTTAACCAAAAGCAGAAAAAAAACACTTCAATTTTATCAGTAGCTATAGTGAATAATTTCAGAATAAGGAGAACCAGAGAAAGGCCCTATGGTACAATGGCAGAGCTCAGTTGTGTTCATTTCAACACAGAATGCACAGGTACAGATTGAAACCCTAGTGCTCTGTAACACTCTCAGTTAAATGTGAAATCAAATTGTTCAATAACTTTTAGATTGTGACCAAAAAACTGACTTAGGGCAATTGAAGTGAAAGTATGGTAACAAGACCTAGTACGTGTGATTCTGAGATGGTCGAGGTTCCAACTTCTGATTCACTCTCAGCTTCTGAGCTTAGGAGAGAACCAAGAAGTGAGTCAAAGTATAAAGTGATGGAAAAATAAACAAACAAACAAAAACACATCATAGAAGACGAAAGTGATATCATGACACCACATCATAAAACCCCTTCACTTTACTTGTAGAGAACTACTCAGGCATCCATCCTTTCAGTCTGTTTATTCATATTATCGTAATATTTTTCTGTAGTAATTTTCTGGGCCTCTAACAATCTTAAGTAGTAAAACAGTCATGATGGGGGCCGGGGCGGGGCACTTCAGAGAGATAAGCAGGGAGAAAGAAGTGATATCATTGGACAATAAGGGAGAAACCAGAAAAGCTATAAATAAAACATACCCCTAAAATATTAAAAGCTCAGAAATCTGGCACCATTTTCCAAAAGGTCAAAGATCCTATCACACTCAGCATGATCCCTGGGTATTTCATATGCTATGAAATATTTCATATATTACATACTATAAATAAGATCTTATATATTACATAGTATGAATATATTTCAGCATGCTATAATCGGTACTTAGAAAAAAGTTGTCTTCAGTTATTTAGGAAAACTAAATTGTGACATTAATATAAAGGCAGCAAAGCAATTATATTTATAATATAGACACTATGACAAAATTTATGCAATTTTTAGATCGCATCTAAAGAGTTCATAACTGAAACATCCATTTATGGCTAAAAGCTCATCTGTCTTTCTACTACCTACAGCAGTGCTGGAGAAATGAGGTCTTAGAGTAAAATTAAATCATTTGATTTGTTTTGAAAATTATAAGCTATAAGTAGCTGGACATTTGTAGCACTTGACTACTGCCAAACTTAAATTCATGAATACTGTTTCCTGATTTAGTTCCAACAAGAAATATGTGGCAATTAGGGTATGGTTGAAAAGTCCGCATGCACATTGTGACATAACTGCTTGCATACTTCTGAATCAGGAAAGGAGAAGCCATGTCTCATGGGGAACCTCCCTGCAATGCCCCCTGCCAGGCTGGCCAAGACATTTTAGACACTGTGCACTGTTTATACAAGTCAGCTCTAAGCAAGCTGGCAAGAGGAATGAGCCTCAAAAATAAAGGTGAGCACTAGCAAAGAAATTGTGCAGTGAAAGCAGTTTATTGAATTTCTTTTCTCAAGTACTAATAACTTGAAGCCAAAACAGGATAGCTGCCTCTCTGTGTCCCTAAGTCCACAGGGCCAGGTGATGAGAAAGGCCACCACCTAAGTAAAGACAGTGTAGGATGCCCAAGACACAAGCCGCTAAGGAAAATCTATAGGCAGCTTTGAATATTAACATGTGGCATATGTAAAGAGCTAAGTTTACAGCCACTTACTGAACACAGAACTTTGAAGATAAAATTATATTAGAAAATCAGTCCTCTTGAGTCCTTTATAAGTATAGACTACAGAGCAAGTTAAAAGATTCTAATGTTCCATTTTTAAGGTAGTACTCATAAAACTTAAAGCCCATTGTGGTATTATCTTGATTTTCACAAATGTGTTATTTAAAAGAGTATGTACATAAAACATACATTTTAAGCCATGATTTCCTATATTTTCTAAAAGCTATGCTTCATCCTTCAACATAGTTTAATCTAACTGCCTTGGCATTACGTTTCCTAAGCAGTGAGCTCAATGCTTCCAACAGTTTCCCAGACTGACTGCTTGGATCGTTATGCTCAGTAACAATTGTCTGTTCCTTCGTCAAGACCCTTAGTTTCTCTGTCATCTGGCTCACAGTGAATCAGTTTCTCTTTTAATATTAGACTTTGAATAAAGACCTACAAAAAGAGCTACAGTCTCAGGGAGATGATGATAAAAAGTAAAAGGAGAGAGTCTGTAGTGCTGTTAGGCCCTCTCTGATGAATTTCATTAAGAGTATTAATTGATTTCTCCTAGATCATGGATATTTGGGCCGATGCTTAATTTCATGTGTGTCTATTGAACAGGAAGAGAAGATAGGAATAACTGTAGTTCTAGGAACGGTTAAGAACAAATAAAAAGGATAGAGAACAACCAACCTTCATCCACAAATTTTCATTGATTATTAACATGAGAAACAAACAGTGCAGGACATCAGATATAAAAAAAACAAAGACTTTTCTGTTCCCTTTCCTGGAAACATGGCATACCTTTCATCACCCCTCAGTGTACTTTGTAGCCATGGAAAGACTACCGCTTTCATTCCTTTATCTGCCCATATGGAAAATCACTGCATTTTACTTTTTCATTTTTTCACCTTAAACATTTAATTTAACACGGATGCTTAAAAGAAATAGTTATATGCATGCATTTCTATTATTTTTCTTTTACAAACTATTTTTATAGTTTGTATAAGTTGTTTGAACACACAATGTACAAACAAAAGAAAGGGAGGGAGGGAGAGTAGGGAGACAGAAAAGGAAAAAGCAACTTAGCAATTTGTGGAAAAGAACAAACAGACAAAATTTTGGCAGCAAAGTCCAGAGAAGATTTCAGACTAGGATACATTTAAAAATATGTGGAGTAGATATGAAGTGGTTGAGAATAAAAATAAAACAGATTAAGAAAAGTTAGTCATAGAGTTCATGCTTTTATAGATCAATATAAATGATATGAAAAGATTGATCAGTTTCTTCTTTTGTCCCTCCCCCAAACTGTACACATTCTTAAAAATGGACAATGCAGAAAAAAAGTGTGGGGGGGAGGAAACAATGTATATCCAGTCCACTATGATTTCTATTTTAAACATTTTATACCATGAGATTCAGGACAAGGCCCCAGACTGATTTTTCAATTGTTCCCTGGCACAAGTTGTCCATTTGGTAAAGATGTTTGTATCCGTTTTATTGTAAAAGGACCTATTTCAACATACAGATGACATTAATAGACTATATTTCAGGGTAAACAGAAACTAATGCAGCAAAAAATGCAAATAGTGAGAACATTGGAGTAATACATTAATGGCAATTGAGGAATCCTTTTAAGCAAGAAAAGGTCATCTCCAAATGACCTCTAAGGGAAAACCATTGAGCTGAGATACCATATTTTTAATAGCAAAACAAATGTGTGATTCATTTTTAAAACTTACACTTTGTATAATAAACTTTGTAAGGAGATGCCACATCTTGAAGTCTCCTTGTAAGCTGATTTCAAATTGTTTGCATTATACATCTCATTTAGCTCATCATCTATTAGTGCCAATGAAAGAATGACAGCCGATTTCACATCCATAGGGAGGTGGTGAGTTCTTTTGGCTCATGACAGATGAGGTGGACTCGTGCCACATGCACCCGCACATGTTAAAGCCTTCCCAGCCAGCATTTTGCTCGCCAGTCTTACAGTCTGTGCTTTTTAGTAAAATAAAAAAGTTTCTTAAAACAGCACTTCTGAAGAATTGGAAAGCATTCTTGCTGTCTCAGAGGTTTGTTGACAATATTCTAGCATCAGCAATCTGTTCAGCACCCCCTGGGTTACACAATGCTCTTTTTTATGTAGCAATGAAGAGAACACTTTTCATGGGGTTCTGAAGTGCTAATCATACTCTACCTTCTAAACAAAGCTTGGCAAGGTTTCACTATCATTCTTTCCTATTGACTTGCTGTTGATGTTTTTCTTTTAGCTTGATGTTTTTCTCCCAAAGTTCTCTTTGGCTGGATACTTATTTTAATGCTTTTTCTGGCTTTCCTTAAGAAGCTTTACCTCTTCAAACATTCTGGCTCAGAAGTTAAATAGGAACTTTGCTCTTTATTCATTTTCATATAATGCCTCCATCACCGATTGACAAATTCTAAGGTATTCACTTTGAAGAAACCTGAATATAATTGTAAAAACACTTGGAGTATACTTAAAATGTGCTGAATATGCCATTTCTCAGTGGAAAGTAGGCTTTAAAATGATTTTCTTTTCTTGAATAAAAAGAATAACTTGAATACATCTAAATTGCTGTTAAATATGTTGAGCATACTGCCAACCATCATTGTGTCTTATTTTTCTGGTTGCCCTTACGTCTTGTTAGTTACTTTTAACCTTATAAAAGGAAGAGCTTAAAAATAAATTAGGGAAAGGTTGACTAACATGGCCAAGAACACTCAGCCATTTAGTGTTTTGCCAGAATTAAACTTTAGACCAGGTGTTTCTACCATTAGGCACGGAATCCACCATTCAAAGGATCCCTGCCCTTCACAAGCCTGCCTTCCCCAATAAAACAATAAATCTATCCACATGTTAAACAGAGGCAGATGGTATATGAAGAGGAGGGCCGGCTCTGAGCATAGGACCCGCTAGCTATGTGCCCTTGGGGAAGCGATCTGTCTTTATGTTCCTCAGCTTGTTTCTCTGTTAAATAAAGAAAATAATAGAATCTACTTTACAGAGTTCTAGTGAGTATTAGATAAAGTAACACATTTAAAGAGCTGAGACTGTTAAGGGTGTAACAAGTACTTGTTATTTTTAGTACTACTAATAATCAGTGAGTAAATCCTAAAATCAAGTAAACAGAAAGATTACAGAAACTGGTAGGCAAAAGTGCACCCTCCCTATGATAGGAGAAAATAAATGGGGTTGACTCACAGGGCAGGGATTCTTGGGGAGCTTTCCTGGGGGAGGAGAGGCACAGGGCAGCTTCTGAATTTGCCCCGTCTGCGTGCGGGCCGGCTTCTGCCGGTTCCCCACCCCACTCCTCATACTGCCGTGTGACTATGGGATAAGAGCAGCACTTTGTGATAGACACACTCCAGGCACCCAACAATACCAATCACATTAAATAACTGACACACGTGGGAGAAAAAGAAGGGTAAAAATGAGCCTAGCTCCGAATTATGAGGTTTTATTTTCTTATTCCAATGCGCCTTTATTTGGTGTCTCTTGAAGGCTCTTTATTAAAATTCCTACCAGTCTGGGAGAAATTACTTAGTCTATTTCCTTCACTTTATCGGGAGGTCCTGAGGGATGGGTCTGGGTCATTTTTCTGTTCTTCTGATACCTGGTATGTTTACTAGGACATTGTAGCTGTGAAGCAAATGCTTTTGGGTGAGTGCAAAAATGAATAAGGTTAGCTCCGTAGTATTATTCGTGGAGTTAACGGAAAGGGGCCTGGACAGGCACCTGAGGAAGAGGTACGTTGGAAGTGAAGAAAGGGGCATAGAGAGCCATGGGCAAACTCTGCTCCTCAAAGCTGTAAACACTTATTGTTATGTCCAGTTTCTTATTTCCTCTAGGTCCAGTCTGATTTCTTTTAGTACCTCAGCACAATGGCTATATTCACAACTAATTATTACAAAATGATTTTATCCCGTCATACCACTGCCCTCACTATAGATGCCCCAGAGCACGGTGTCCATTGAAAATCCCGGAGGGTAGTGGTGAGCACAAGGGGGCGCCCAGCCTCATCCCCCGCAGGCCCCTTCCCCAGGGCATCATGTGTCAGCACCAGCTGGAGCAATGCTTTTTCAGATCCATGAGTTTAGTGAGTTGAAAGCTAAACACAGAACAGTTGTCAATCTTGGTTATTCTTTCAGGTAACTGTTTGCTAGACCTACCACGCAAACAGATCCTGGGCCCTGAGGAACTACCAGGGCAGACTTATGATGCTACCCAACAGTGCAACCTGACATTCGGGCCCGAGTACTCCGTGTGTCCGGGAATGGACGTCTGTGCGCGCCTCTGGTGCGCCGTGGTGCGCCAGGGCCAGATGGTGTGCCTGACCAAGAAGCTGCCAGCCGTGGAAGGGACGCCATGTGGGAAAGGGAGGATTTGCCTGCAGGGCAAGTGTGTGGACAAAACCAAGAAAAAGTATTATTCAGTAAGTGCTTTTCTTGTCACACAGTGCCTCGAGACCTGAGATCTGAAGTACACTCCTGTGACCCGTGTGGGCACTGTCACCAAGAGCCTTTATTTCCTAGTAAAATATTTTTCCTGGAGAGATCTATTCACAACTTCCTCCTTACCCTTGGTAGCCATTGTCAGTAATCAAAAACTGGAGAAAGGGCAGGCCTTAGCTACCCACCCCTAGGTTTGTCCAGTGACACGTAAGTACTTAGCCTAGACTCCATCACGAGGCTGCACGCAGGGCCCCCAAGTCACTGGAAGTTTACTTTCAAACTCCTCTCACTAAAGTTATCAGAATACATTTATTTAAATAAAGTAAGGAAATAGTAGAGCTCATACATGGCAGTCATAACACTGGGTGACTCCAAACTGGTTGTATTTTCCCCTTAGAGCAAGTTAATCTAGCTTTAGGAGCTAATGTGACCTGTGACTGCCCCAGCGAAACACCTCGTCCCTCCTCATGTGCATGGTCCACCTGCAGGTCAGTAACTGCCCCCTTAATTGTCAAGGCCTAAGGAAGGCATTTGTTCACTCACAAGATTTTCAAAGTCCCTAGAACAGCATTGTCACGTGTGCGTTTCTGGAGTCGCTCAGGACTGTCAGACAACCATGCATTCTCAGACACCCGACAGACAGCCAGAGGAGATTCTGCATGAGTTCCCTCAGCAAAGGAATTAATAACATTCTTCCTTGTGGAGACTTCCAGCTTCCTGTTGCAATGTTTCCAGAGTGTAGACTTGGGGTGTCAACCAGGCTGTGGTTGTGTGTGCTTGTGGTATGGGCTCACTTCTGTATCTGTTGCATTTGCTATCTATAAAGTGAGAGTCTAGTCCAATGAAGAATTAAGCCATGCCCAGGTCACATACATTTATTGTGTGACAGAGGGTCTGTCACAGACGGGATGGGTGATATCGACAAGGGACTGTAGGACTTCATTGCTAAAGAGGGAGAAAAGGTGTCAATTACAATCAGCTAACGCCAGCATCATGCAGAACATTTGACTTGAGATATTTCATTAAGGGAGCAGGATCAGAGTGGACAAAAAGTTCAGTGTGATTCAGTGGTTACTAACAGAAATATACAATTTCAGAAGGCCCAGAGAAGCCAGGAGTAATTTTTGCAGTGTGCTCAGGACTGAGGGTGAAGTCCTCTAGTGTCAGGGGATGGTAGCAAGTAGAAAAGGAGAATTGCTTCGAATTGAAATCACATTGTAATTCCAGAGTGGCTAATACCTGTGATCATGTTAAATTCAGTGAAATTTGACTATATTTGTGATGAAGTTTCCACTGTGTCATTGAAGGCAAGTGATTTCCAATGTACATTTTGAATGTTTTCCTCCTTTCTGAGTTAAAATATCTCCTATTTTCTGTTTCAGACATCAAGCCATGGCAACTGGGGATCCTGGGGGCCCTGGGGCCAGTGTTCGCGCTCATGTGGGGGAGGAGTACAGTTTGCCTATCGCCACTGCAATAACCCTGCACCCAGAAACAGTGGCCGCTACTGCACAGGGAAGAGGGCCATCTACCGCTCCTGCAGTGTCATGCCCTGCCCACCTAATGGTATGCTGCTACCAAGTGTCAGCAACCGCCGTGTATAATTTGTATTCTAGTAGTAATAACTAGGGGAGGCTAGGGAAAGAGTGTATTCATCTTGTACTTCGTGGTTCCACCCATGTGCAAATCACTAACACATGGGTGATTTTTAAATGATTATTATAACCAATTGAGTGAATATTCAGGGAGTAGGAAGAAAGTAATTTCTGTTTGCAATTCTGTGTAGATAAGAATCCTTCAACACTGGTGTGTGAAGAGGCTCTGAATAAAAAAATCATCTTCCCCTTAAAATTATTTAAATACACAAGAATATATCTTAAGTTCCAGAAGTGATAAAGTAATAATTGATATGTTTGTTTTTCAGGTAAATCTTTTCGTCATGAGCAGTGTGAGGCCAAAAATGGGTATCAGTCTGATGCAAAAGGAGTCAAGACTTTTGTGGAATGGGTTCCCAAATACGCCGGCGTCCTGCTTGGGGATGTGTGTAAACTGACTTGCAGAGCTAAGGGCACTGGCTACTATGTGGTGTTCTCTCCAAAGGTAACTGCTCACCTCCTGTCCAGAGACAGGACATGTCCTGGGTGGAAATTATTTGTTAGAATGAAACCCACAGATATCAAATATACACAGTCATTATTTGGAGGGTGGCTAGATTTCAGAGGGTTTTATTTTCATCTCTATCATGTCTGTATCTTTCAGACCTTATGTAATGAATAGAAATTATTTTGTAAACAGGAAAAAGTAGATGTTTTAAAACTATTTTTAAGAAATTGAACTCTGTCAAAGAAGGTGAGGTGTGACCTTAACTTCAAAATACCCAGGAAAACAGTTATCTCCAAGGTTCCTTTGTACAGGGGACTAAAAGCAAGAAAACTTTCTGTATTTTTATCATTTACTTAAGAATTCCTTTAGTGATTCATAAAGATAGGTTTTAAGATCATCATCTCGACCCAGACTTTCACAATTTAAATGTCTTACCCCCTTAATGTGAATCATTGTCCCTGTTGCTATCCACTTAATATATGCATGCAAAACTATCCCTTATTTTTCACAGAAGGGCATTTCCTAAATTCCTAGCAGTTTCATTTCTCACAGTCAATGTTATGCAGCAATTTAAAATACAGTTTAAACATTGTATTTAAAAAATACAGCAAGTTAAATTAAGTGCTACATGCAAAACCACCTCAGAACTGGCCTTCAGGTATTTATGACATACTATTGAAAAATAAGATCACCCAACTTAAGTAGTTTTCAAGATAGTTTATCTTTTTATTGCAAAATTATTATTTTCATTAAAAAAATAAAGAATTATAAAAACAAAACATCACCTGAAAATACCACCATCTGGGGAACTGTTAACCTATCAAGGTATACCCTACCTTAGTTTACACTCAAACACTATGTGTAGAAGAGTTCTGTATATATACAAATACAAGTGTGTATGTTTATGTATATGATTGTACATGTCATTTATATATATATGCACATACACAAACCCCAGAGTTCATACCCATACTACTTAAAACTAGCTTTTCAAATATATGCTGATTTTCTTTAGTCAGAATATTTTCAGGCTCTTCCAGTAAGTACTTTTCTCTGACTTCCCCAGACTTCTCTTTCTATGTTAATTTGTTTGTCTCTGTTTCAACATCTGATGGTCTGTCACACAATAGGGAATGCTTTCCAACCATTACAAGATTTTGAATGTCAGGTTTAGATTTTCAAATTTAGTACTATAATAACAGTTCTGCAACAAAGAAGGACCTCTGCCATCTTGAATGTGCTCATATTCTGCTCTCCACACAAGTGAGAGTCCCACACACGAAGGGAGAAGATGGTTCTGTCAATGAAAACACAATACACCTGGAAACATGTCATGCATACAGAAATGGAGATGAGGACTTTGGGTCTCACAGCATATTCAGAATTAAGCTCAAGAGAGAAAGTGCATACCCCAGATTTATCCCAGATCTTTCTGCTGGTATGTCAAGGATTTTTTTCAGTTAGATACTCCTGGAAACTATGACTTTTTGTTTATTTTTCAATGTACTATCTATTCCAGTCAAACTCAAAACTCACAAATGAGAACTTGCTGTTTACCAAAGATACCAAGTACCTGTGCGCACGTTTTCCCCACTGTTAATGTGGTCATCATTACTCAGGTGACCGATGGAACTGAATGTAGGCCGTATAGCAATTCCATCTGCGTCCGCGGGAAATGTGTGCGAACTGGCTGTGATGGCATCATTGGCTCAAAGCTGCAGTATGACAAGTGTGGAGTGTGTGGAGGAGACAATTCCAGTTGTACAAAGATTGTTGGAACCTTCAATAAGAAAAGGTAATGTGATAGAACAATTGCCCCTGTGTGAATTTAACCAAGCGTTAGGCTCTTGCAAAATTGATAAAGGAGGATTCATGTTACATGGTAAGCTATCTGTGGGAGGAGGTCTAGCCTGGCTCTAGGAACACACTGGGAATATGAGAAGCAAAGGAGAGGAGGTGAAAGAACTCTAGCTGCCAAGTGGAAATGTGCGGTGCCTCTGGAACAGATAAACTGCTCTGGCCATGAGGTCTTGCAGAGTGTGAAAACTGAAAAGAAAAATCTGTGACATTCCACTTTAGCAATATCTTGCAGACCCATTATTCCTGAAACGTGATTTAGGAAAGATGGCTAGTTTCCATCTTTACTTCTTTTTACAAACAAATCCTCATTAGTGCATTTTTCTTGAGAAAAACATTTCTCCTTGCAAAATGTAAGTTAATTACAGTGGTGTAGACAACAATCCCATTTTAGAGTGAACTACCCTGGTTTATATCTACTTTGTAAAGAAATATATACAGTAATGTCTGCTTCCTGTTTCCTCTCATGGTCTCTGATTACATGTTTGTTTTAAGATGTAAGTTTATAAAGTATCAATTTTCGGCATTAAATATTATCAGCTAGGATGGCTGAGTTGACCAAAGAGTCTACTGGAATGCAGATTTGTTTCTCTTCTTTGCCAAACCACTTACCCTGAGCCTGGCCAAATGCACCTGTGTTCTTAATATACATGCTGTGTTGTCTTAACTGGAGGGCAGTATACCAGCCAAGCTCACAATAAGGATTCATTAAAATAATTACATGCCACATTAATGTGAAAACTAGAAATCATCTTTGATATTATAAAAAATTGTATGACTGGAGAATTTATTCTGAGTTAATATGTATTACTAATCCTGTTTGCTAGTGATGTAATAAGTATTCATCTGACTTTATAGGGTCAAACCCTGCATGTACCATTATATCCCACATTTTTATAGGTTTTAAAGGTACAAAATACCTCAGAAATGATCAAGTCTACCCATTTGTTTTACAAATGAGGAAACCCGGACTCTGAAAGTTTAGAACTTATCTAATTTTAGACAACTGATGAATGCCAAAGCAAAAGATATAACTTAGGTCATAGGATAAAAAAGCTATTGTATTTAAATATTTTTTAAAAGGAAAGAAGGACAGAAGAGAAATTCAAGAGCCAGATGAGAAGTAAAATTATTTTTTTAAAAACAATACCTTTTGTAGTACATGTTATATATTCTTCCTACATAAACTTACAAACTAGTTTTTTAAATGCCCAATTTAACATTTTCAATTTCTGTATTGACAACCATAAATACATCTGCATATTTGATGTCACATGAAAAAAATGAAGAAATTCATAATCTCAACAAATAGTGCACAATATAACTGCTTGCAAATTAATTTGACCAAGATCGTGTGATGTGGTACTAATGACCTGTTTAAGTATTCCAAATAAATTACCATGGCCTTGTGTAATTTATAAGAAAGAATACTAATCTCGGAGCTGCACTATTTACTATTAAGCTCTGGTGCAGTGAATCACTAGCCATATTAACTTGAAAGAATCACTTAATTTCCTTACCATAAGAATTCTTGAAAGTGGAATGAAAATAGTAGTAATTATCTTGCAAATTAATATTGCTGTGAGGATCAAATGAGATAGTACATATTCAAATATTTCTTCAAGTTGAAATCTCTTCACAAATATGACCATAATCTTAATTCCAACACTCCCCCACCGACAATTTTCTCCACCTCAGTAAATGGCAACTCAGTCCTTCCTTGCCCAAAACTTTGAAGTCTTCTTTTGCTCCTCACTTTCTCTGACACTCCACGTCCGTACATCAGCAAATCCCACCAGTCCTGCTTCCAACGTCTGTCCAGAGTCAAGTTCCTCCTCCCCACCATGAGCAGCCAATCCACTGATGATCATCTCTTGCCTGAATCAATCCAGCAGCCTTCCCACTGGTCTCTCAGCCCTCGCCTCTCACATTGTCTTCACAAAGTAAGGAGAGCTATTACCACTACTGAAATCAGATCATGGCATTCCTTGGCTCAACAGCCCCCACTGGCTTACACCTCAGTATCCATTTCCAAGATTGTTTTGTAACCAGCAAGGTGCTAAAAACTTTCAGCCCTGCTCTGTGTCTCTTCTTCACCAGTCCCTTGTTTTATTCTGCTCTCTTGACACCAGACTCCCTGACATTCGTCAAACATGGCATATAGGCAAGTGTGTGTGGTTTACTCTGCCTGGGACACTTTTCTGCAATCAATAAGCAATGCTTCCTCTAGAATTCCTTAGATCTCTGTGAAATGTCCCCTCGGGTGATGGCTACTCAAAATGAATAGGAGGATCTCTTCCCCACCCCTGTCATATTCACCATTTCCTTTCTCTGCTCTGTTTCTTCACAGCTCTTATCAATTGATCCTGTCACAGATTTTGTCTGGGGGGAATTGTGGGGGTCTGACTTCCCCCCACTATAATGTCACTTCCACGACAGCATACGTAGTATTTATGAGTGAATGTATTCTTTCATGGCAGGCACTCTTCTTCATGTCATGGAGATAGCCCTGAACAAAGCAAGATTCCCTTGCCCTGCCAGCCATACATCATAATAGTTATGGAAACAACTGCATTCATTTATGGTAGCGAGAGAAGCTGATTACTGTCCAAAGTTTAAATGCTACCAAGCAGGGCATAAGAGAATGAATAAGGAATACGAAAGGAATCAGGTTTTACTAAGGCACTAAGAAATCAAGGCACTAATCCTCATATGTAGAGCAACCCTGTGCAACAGCGTGAAGACCAGCTGCAGCGCCAATAGTCCCAAGTGATCACAATGGAACAGGAATCTCAGCCAGGCTGTAAGGAATGAGCAGCTCAAAAAGCTCTCCTGCCTGACTCCCTTAGCCTTCATTCTTTATTTTCTTTACACCGGTACCATTTAAATTCCGAAGGTAACCAGAACTTTTCATTTAACTTTTATAAAGTATGCCTGGCAAAGGTAAGGGTCGCATGCATGAGGATATGGTGAAAGGAGCACGAACAGGGCACAGAGAGGCCTGGATTTTAAGCCCAGCACTGCCACTAGTTAGCTCTGGAGTCAAGTACTTTACCATGTCCCCACTTTATATGCTTTTATGTGAGGTGAGCAATCACCTCCAACAGCCCTCCTGGCTTTGTTTGAAGCCACTGTAAGATTTCATACTATCTCTTAATATCAGAAACATTGAAAAAAAAAAGTCCTTTAAGAAAGTCTAATCCAGAATGTATTACAAAGTAAAAATAATGAATCAAGTTGAATGGATAAGCAACTCTGTCACCATCACATCTTCTCTTTTCAACAAGGTAGGAAGCTCTGACACTTGTCCACCAGTCCCTGTAAATTGGATGCCAATACATAGGAGACTTCCCTTCAGGGGAGCCTTATCTAGTTTAGAGGAATTGCTCGAATGGGAAAAACACAGTTGGATTTTCAGTGTGTGAATCAGTTGTCCCCTATTTGAATCAGAATTTGAGAGTAGATAATTAAATTTGACACACAACAGTCAAACTGCGTAGGCAATTTATTTATTTCTGTTCAAATAACTAGGAAGGTAAGACATATGGAAACCATATTATGAAATCACTTATAGGGGCAAAGATTTTCACAAAAGATGACTCCTTTCTAGTATAGTCCCTTGGAGCTTAATTAGCATTTCTGTCCTAGCATTTTCCACAAGCTCTGAATATTAGAGATATTTATGCCTTTGCCTGTTTTCCTGAGCACATGACGGATCATTGGTGACCTATCTTATTTCTCCCCCACCATAAGCCTCACTCAATCTATCATAATGCTACCTGAACACTAAACGTTCAGAGAAATTTGCTAAGGCATTAAAGATTCATTTTTTCTTTTGATGTAATTAACAGTCTACGGTCACCCATTTATGGAATTTTATGTTCCATTTACATGTCCTGGCCAGGAAATTGAGAGTTTTGGTAGAAATGGAAGCAGAGCCTTTACTCTGTCCCTAGTTCAATAAACAATGAAATCTGTGGTTCCCCACCTTGCCTGCAGATTTTGAACATGAAGGACTCTAAAAGCACTGCTGCCTACTCCCCCCTTCCTGCAAGATGGGGATTTAATTGGTCTGGGGTCTAGGGATTTAAATCTTTACAAGATTTCCATGTGATTCTAATATACAAGCAAGTTTAAGAGGCATTAAAGATTTCTATGAAATTAAGGGCAGATTTTTGTTACTCTCTGTTTCATGTATATCCCACTTTGTGCCAGAAAGAACATAAAGTAACTTTTGTAAAGATGATAGGATTTGACAGGGCTGTGTAATGTGTTTATAAATCTTCAAATGAAATTAGTGTAAATTTTTAAAACAAAGGCAGGTTGCTAATATCATCCTAACTTTGAACATCACAATAAAAATATACACAGTCTAATAGTCTAGCTGCAGTTTTATTTTGTTATAAGAAAGTTTTTGAAGCCAATTTTAACCTAATCTCTTAAATACATTAAACTTTTGTTAAGGTAAGACTTTGAGAGAATTTCTATTTGTTTATCCATTGATTTATCCATTTGCTAAGTGTTCATTAATCTTTCCTTCTCCCTCCCTCCCTCTCTGTCTCTCTGTTCCCTCTCCCTTGTGTACATTCCTGCTTACAGTAAGGGTTACACGGATGTTGTGAGGATCCCTGAAGGGGCAACCCACATAAAAGTCCGACAGTTCAAAGCCAAAGACCAGACTAGATTTACGGCCTACTTAGCCCTGAAAAAGAAAAACGGTGAGTACCTTATCAATGGAAAGTACATGATCTCCACTTCAGAAACCATCATCGACATCAACGGAACAGTCATGAATTACAGCGGTTGGAGCCACAGGGATGACTTCCTGCACGGGATGGGCTACTCGGCCACGAAGGAAATTCTAATAGTGCAGATTCTGGCAACAGACCCAACTAAAGCGTTAGACGTCCGCTACAGCTTTTTTGTTCCCAAGATGTCCACTCAAAAAGCTAACTCGGTCACTAGCCATAGCAGCAACAAAGTGGGATCGCACACTGCACAGCTGCAGTGGGTGACGGGCCCATGGCTCGCCTGTTCTAGGACCTGTGACACAGGCTGGCACACCAGGACAGTGCAGTGCCAGGATGGGAACCGAAAGTTAGCAAAGGGTTGTCTTCTCTCTCAGAGGCCGTCTGCATTCAAGCAGTGTTCGCTGAAGAAATGTTAGCCTGTGGTTATGACCTAATGCAGAGGTACCTGCATGAGTCATCACCGATCAGTCGTGATGAAGGGTGGTGATCCATCTTGTGATCAAGAGCTCTACTTAAAGCACAGAAAGTTGCGTTTCAGTGTCACTGGCAACGGGAGTCCAATTATGGGCAGAATCTGCCCTCTGCGACCAAAAGAAGATGTGCACTGCTTCGTGTGACACTGGTGACCTTGGGATACAGAAACACTTGGGAGTTACTGAGCATCCCCTGGACCTACACAAATGCAAAATGACTGATGAATGTAGAATCAGGGGACATTTGAAGATAGCAAAACAACAGTCTCCCCCTTGTCACCTACCTCTTACAGAATGTCTTCAAAGGCATCGTAGTCATTTTCACCCCTAAGGCACACTAGCGTTATTTTTACTGTTTGTAAATACATTCTCCCTTGGTATGTCACTTTATATCATTTGGTTCTATTAATATATATATATATATAGATAGATAGATAGATAGATAGATGTGTATATATATATATATATTCTATAAAAAGTGTTTGACCAAAGTAGGTCTGCAGCTATTTAAACTTCTTCCAGTTTCCGGAAAGAGCTGTGGATGTTTTACTGGAAATTAAGACCATGCTGCTGTTTTCATAAGATTTAGTATACTTTCAGACAACAGAGGATAAAATTTTAGTCAAAAACCATTTTCACAGCAAGCATTTTCTGAGAAATATTTGAAAAGAAAAAGGATCTCATTTTTTATATTTACTTAATTGTTTGACTGCCTGTATTTTTTCGGGCAACCAGCCAAATTAATGAGTGATTAGAATGTAGAAGTAGAGTTTGTGTGTGGGTATGTTACCAGTATTCAAGAGTCTAGAAATTGTTTCCTTGTGTTAGAATTTAAAAGGAAAAAAAAACATACTTCACCATATTTTCCATTTATATTTTCACAACCGCTTTCCCTTTCTACGCCTTCCATCTGATATCTTACAATGTATAATATACATACAGAACACACATTTTTCTAAATCACATTCAACATCTTCAACACTGGTATACCTCTTACCAGCAAGCCTTTAAAATGCTTTTTTTTTTTTTCACTTGTTAGTTTGTTTTGTTCTAGGGTTCTGTAAGACCTTCAATGTCTTGTACTTCTTGTTGAATATTAAAGATCATTTAGGAATTAGCCACATCTAGAAGTGGTTTTCACTAATGGGCTAGTGCAAAAAAAATGTTATTAATATTAATAAGACTGTTTCCACACCATAAAGGCAATAATTCCTTGCATTGTTTGTTTTTTTTTTAAATCCAAGGACACTCATACTGTACTTAAGATTTTTCCAAATTGGAAGGATTTGGTTATACCAGTAAGTGTTTGAGTAATGAAATGTGATTATTTTTGAGCAGCTTGTTGCTTTAATGTTCATATCCTGTCTAGGTATTTTCTAAGGTTGAATAGTTAGACTTGGAAAATTTTTAGAATCACATGCATTCAAATCTTTATTTAAACAGTAAACTGTATCCCTCTAACTTGCTAACTAGAAAATCAAAGGTATTTCATTTCATTGAGATTTTTTTGTGTGTGAAATATCACAAAGTCAATTGTCGTTGAAATTTTTATATATAATCCTTACCAAATGTGCCTATTGTTAAAGATTTGCATATAAGGATGTTAGGGAACCATTGTTTGAGTTCCCTTTAGGTCATGAGAGTTTATTTTTATTATAATATATTTTAACATAAAGGAATTACGTAATTGATCTTGCTATATCACATTCATTGCAGTAAGCCAGGAAAACATGTCTCACTAAGTATTTTCTTGAGAACTTATTAGGTAAAACAAAGAATTGTTTTACAAAACTGGTAATCATCCTTTGGATTTTAAATAGACTTTGCTTTAGACGTGGTCATTTTTCCTAAAAAATTATCTATTAGAGAAATGAAACCCATATAAGACTGGTAACCTACGTCTGATGGAGGTCACCAGATACCAGAAGCCAGAAACAAAGCTATTCAAATCACTCAGAAAAAAGTTTTAAATCACACCTACAATTTGACTGTGCAGAGAGAATTAATGGTGAGGCCAATATTACTTTTTCCAATATCTGAAATAATTTTAATTAAGTAATTCAAATATTAAAAAAATATTTTTGCCTTTTCTGGTTATATTCACAGCAACATTAAAAAATAATTGATGCACAAACTTGATTATCTCCTACTCGCTTCTCTATATCATACTCATAGATTTTTTAAATATGATTTATCAATGATTCATTTTCCCTCAAACAATGAAGTTTTATACTTCTCATTGAAGCAAACAATCCTGGAGACTATAAAATAAATGAATTAACCACTATTCCATGGTTTTAAGGAGCTTTTTTTAGTTTTTTCATATGAGTATATCAATAAATTGACCAAGGAATATATGTCTACATTCCTGAGAAAAATGATATGGAATGAAAACTGAAATTCAGAGAAATGGAGTGTTGAGTAAATATGAAGAATGATAAACCAATGAAAAATCCTCCATAATGCAATCTAATTCAGTCCAGATTGACTTTGAACTGTAGTTGTACCTTTCCATAGCTGCATCTTGAATAAGGCATCCAGAGTTCATGATGCTAGTGGTTACTTCCTCAAAAAAAAGTTTGAAAATGCTCAGGTTAGTAAGAATCTAATCTCACACTACTAAACACTCCAAATTAAGTTTAAGTAAATACAGAGAGTCCAAAAGGAAATAGCATTTATTTCTTCTAGAAAAGAAAATGCAAAATTAAGCCCTGTATTGTTTAGAAGTTTAAGGGTAGTGTTTTAATTTGTTCAACAAATTCAACTTCCTTTGCCTTCCTGTGGAAACAGTTTTATCCATTAAACTAAGAATTAAGGGATTAATCACAAACAAAAAGTTGCAGCACTGAAAAAAAATTACTTACTGTTTTTGCANATATATATATATATATATATATATATATATATATATATATTCCTCACATATCTTTATTCTGATACTACTTTCTTTTCCAAGGAAGTTTCTAACTGAATTTTTCATGACTAGTAGTGTTCATTACTTCTAGTTACATTAGGTCTATTTCAGTTTCATTAATACTGATTTTTCCAAGTCACAGATGAGAAAACACTTAAGCAACTAAGATCCAAGTTTTAAACTTGGGTATATAGATAACCTGGAAGCTTCCCATAGATGCTGAGAAAGAATTAAGAATCAAGTGCATTCACTTCACTGATAAACTGGGACAAGGAGATTCTGATGTACTGTATGAAAGCTGTGCACATACAACCTCCGAGTGATAGCAATGAAAATAAAACCAAATATTGTCTTTTGCTGCTTTCAAAACACTTCTTAAAATTAATTATTACTTAGTCTTTCACGTATGTAGGATTCTATACAAGGAAGTAAACACATTTGATTAAAATGATTCAAGTGTTTGAGTCATATCTATTTCTACAAATATGGTGTCTCCACTGAGTGACTTTCTACTAATAATAAATGTCATGGAGTGATAGGACCTGGGACAGGCAGGGACACCTTGGGTCACATCAGCTTGCCTCTGACTATAAATCCAGTCTGATCACAAAATTAAAGCAAAAGCACCCTTGGACACACAATTGACTGGATCAATCTCTGGTTCTGATGTTTCTCCTGTTGGCTCCTTCCTTATTAACAAGGTCATTGTAATGGTTTTAGTGAGGACAGCAACTGGATTCAAAGAAGCTCAGTACTTGTGCTATGACTTAGAGTTCATTGTTTATGAAATAAGATTGAATTTAATAATTACCAAATGTTGTTAATACTTTGTGGCTGAGTGTGAAATTTCATTGGCATGATTGATGAATATAACTAATCTATTTATAATTAAACTTGAAACCATAAAAATACCTTATCATTCTTATGATGTCTAACCTACAAGATAAATGAACAACCATGAATACAGAAATGGTCATCCAAAGCTATAATGGAACCAAGTGCAGGGTCAAAGTGACCTATCATTTAGACCAACAGAAAAGGATCTTGAATGTTTTCTCTATTGTTTTTCTCATTTGCCAACAACCTGTAGTTTTAGATTGTTCAACAGGTAGATCAACTTAACAGACCAGCCCACTGAAAAAAAAAAAAATTGCAGTAGCCCCTCCTGCTAGCATGAACTACAGAAATGACTTCTCAAGTAATAGCCTGATATAACATGAGTCTATAATGGCTAGCTGTGTTGTGATCAGTTAATGTTTGGGAGCATATTGAAATAGGAACCCCTGCATTAGTGAGACAAAGAATGGAAATACACATGGTGTTAAGATCAGAAAAGCATCCAACCAACCTGTCAAGTGTCTTTTGGATACCATAATTAATTCTCAATGCATATTTTGTGGGAAAAATAAAGGCATATGTCATTAGAAGATGTTTGTTTTAAAAGAATATGACGGAAATGTACATATTAGTTAACCCATTTAATTGCACTCTCCTAATAGACTAGCACTTAGCAGTAAGTTTGCTGTCTGTGTTCCTTACCCCAGAACTCCAACAACTGGTCCTTCTGGACTGCCAAGGGTCAAATGAAAAAACAGGCCCATCATCCTATAAGGCACTGCCCCATCAGAGTGGCCCAGTCTAACACAGTGAGGAAAGCTGCAATTTGTAAATAAATGGGATTCTTTTTTTTTTCATTTTCCTTTGATACATTCAATGAAAGACTGCAATTCTTACTAACATGCTAACATCTTCAGTGATCAGCTGTCAAAATATGGTATTTCTGGGTTACTATTTTATTTTACAAGATTTTTCAATCTGTAAGAAAGAACTCTAAGTTTTTTGTCTGGGTACAACTTGATACTCAAAGTTTGGGAAATTGCACCTATTGGTCATTCTGATCAACAGTGTTTAGTGACATAAACTATATGTACATCGAGGATGTTTAAGGTGACATCAAAACTTGAATAGTGTCAGGCTGGAGTAGCAGACATTTAGATGAGAAATGTTTCATCCCTGACTAAGCCATCAGCGTTCCTTTCAAACAAACTTTTTTGTTTCCTATACACAAACTTTTGTGTATATTTGGCCTGACTCTTGTAAGCTTTGCAATATTTTATGTTCATAAAGTAGCTACCTGGCTGCTGCATCTCAGTCTTCAGCACTTCACAACATACTAAGAACACTTCAACCCACAGTGAGAGGATATTGAGAACAGAAGATCATACTGCTTGTGACTGTGTGATGTTAGCCTTTTGATTAAGAAATATATATTGTCGCCGGATGCCATACATGGAGGAGCTAACAAATACCGCTTACATTTTAGTGGGCTGTATTAGAGGAAGCCATGCACATGCTTTGTTAATAGACTGTAGATAACTAAACAGAGTTCAGAAATATCTTCAGGTTGAAGTAAGCAGTAGCACACACATTTGATTTCTATATTACAGTTTGTGAGTAAAGTCAGGTAATGAACCTAAGCAGGTATAACTGCAATTTTTAAATCTTGAAACATGTCTTTAAGGTAAAGGGAAATGTCAAAAATTTATATACTGTACATAAGCGGCAAAATGTAAGCTGGTTATTACCCTCAATTTTCTGGAAGTGATGGTATTTTTCTGTAAATATAATACAGTTGAAAAACCAAAAATCTTGGAAAACCAAGACAGGTCTTGTTTAAAATATCTCTTCAGCTTTGGCAATTTTCAAACCTGAATCAGCTACTGAAGGCATTATTGTGTTATGTAGCCTGCATTCCACAACAATCCTGTTATTCAGGCAAACCACTTGAACCATTATTTGGGAACTGTACTGTAATATTTTCATTGAGAAACAATATCCTATTTTGTAAAGCATTTCCTTATGTGTGACTTTAAACTGTAAAATTAAATATTGGCTTTATGGTTTCAATAGGCATAATAAATGTTAATTGAAAACCAGGTTAAAGTATTACTGCATATAATATGTTTTAGAGTTGGAAATTATTGTCCATTTGTTTTTAATTCTCTCATATCAGCAGTAGCACCAAGCCAGGTCTTAAGGAAGCCCTAGGCTGTCTAGAATGTCTGCCATCCTTCATTCACTTTGGCATAGACAATTAATACTTTGTCTTAGTTTAAGTACTATGGAACTATTTGCTTTAAGTCCTTCTTACCAGACTTTGACCCGTTGAGTCTGGTCTGGAATTGAAATTCTGTTGTTAAATTAGAAATAACAAGAAATATAATCTATCTGCTTCATCTTTACTTTTTTGAAATGAACTTATTCTAGACAAAAAATTAGTCAAGATTATAATGCATGCATGCATTGAAATTCAAAAAGAATTGACATTTACTAGTAAAAGCTAACAAATATGAGGTATTAAGGTTCCTAAGGACATCAGTTCCTCTGAAACCTGAAATCCCTACTCTTTAGTGTACATTGAAAAATTTCACTTCTCTCTCAAGTAATATTTCAGAATCATTGTACTTTAAGTTTTCTTCTTGGTAGAGTGTATACACTTTAAATAAGCAATTCAAAACACCTCTACTTTTAAGAAGATGACATATAAAGTTAGTCATTGTAACATAGCTAAGATTTGTTGAACATCTCTGGGTCAGGCCCTGTGGTAAACACCTCACAAACTATCTCCCACATATTTCTCTCCATGACCTTTGTGAGGCTGGTCTTGAGATGCCAGTGTTACAAAGGACTATCACATTATAATAGTTGTTAATGGTCATTTAGCTGTTACCTAGTGCCAGGTGCTGTTTTAAGCACTTTTAGAGGTTTCCTGTCAATTACTGGCTCCTTTTTTAAGCAGTGAGAGTCTTAAATCCTTATGGAATGTGAGTCTGAGGGAGGGATTGTAGGGTGGATGGAGGACTCTGTGAGACGAGAAATAGGGGAAGTGTTAGGTATCCTTATGTGTTGACCCCTGAGTAAAAATTCCAAGTAGTAGTCCTAAAATTCCAATAAAAATGGCAAGGAAAGTGTAGAATCCGGTGAACAGTGAGAATAGAGGCACATGCTTAGAATGTACAAAGGACTGTTGTTTAATGAAAGGGGAGAGAGAATTTGATTTAGAAAACCAGTAAATTGCTGGGGAGTATAAAAAACAAAACCTTACAAACCCCTCACAGCCATTAATGAGCGGGTTCAGACAAGGTCAAATGTGTAAAAACGGTCCTGCTGTAGCTTGTAGATCGTAGTAGAATGAACAAAGAAGTTGGTTAGAAATGGCATGACAGACATTTGGAAAGTCCAAGCCATCTTTAATCCCTAGATTCTGTGGGAATCTGTCTTGATGTATTATTGTTTTATCTGTTCAATTAAACTGATGTTTTCCCACAGAATGACTGATTATGTCTTCGCGTAGACACAAACAAAGGGGTAGCTTGGTTCCTAGTCCCTTCCACGTCCATCTCATAGGTAAAGAGAACCAAAACCGAAGGTGATTAACCACCTGGAGCAGTTCCCAGATTAGGAACGACAGGGAACCCGCCCAGGGCCTCTCTCTGGCATGAATTCACACACCCCGCTGTATACTTTTCTCGTTTCACTTCTAGATGCCCACAGGGCTTTGTCTCCTACTTTAGCCTTCACTGGGGTTTGCCTTGAATTGGGGTTACAGACTTTTTGTAGTTGCTATTTATTGTTAAAAGCATCTAAATCTTGGAAAGCAGGAAAGCATACATCTTAATCACTTGTAAATACACTCATTCCAACAGTGGTTGAACTAGTTTTATGTTAAAAGAATCATTCATCTACAAATGTGTTGGGAACGATTAATCTACTCACCTTCCAAGCAAGTTTATTACCTACTAGATATTGAAAAGAATTTCCCTAGATTGTTTCTTCACTCTTGAGCCCCCGTGACTAGCTCTGTGACATCACAGATGGTTTCTCTGGCCGCACAGGTCTTAGCACTGCTTTAGGCAGTTTCAAGGTGGGAACTCAGACTTTAGAGCTGGCTGGG